GTGGATGGTTTTGTGATCTTCTCCTTACTCACATCCTCACCCATACCAAATTGTCTCTTGTATTTATTCAAATATTTCCAGAACATACCAAAATGCTAGGCTCTTTGGGAGGTTAAAAAGTGACCCTAGTAGAATCTCTTCGTTTCCCAATTTCTATAAGACCGTTTTAAATAGCGGTCATTTCAAGAGTTACATGAAATCATACGTAGACAAGTGTACGACAACACGAGTTGATGGGAAATTTGGTTTTGTGATAGATTATAATTCTATAGAGATGGCCTACTCAAGATTTAACGCGGTTGATCGTTCTTTGAAGTGATGAAATTTAAATCTTTGTTGATAGTACTCAGTGATACAATATTGATTGACATCTTTATAATTTATCTTTTGATTAATGAATAATAAAATGCTATCAATCCATATTCTTATCTATTTTATTGCACTGAATGATCAATGATAGATTTATATGAACATAATCCGACATTAATCTTTTGATAATCATATCTTTTAAATCAATTTTGTTTTCATTATTTCAGTTTTTTTTTGTGCTCGACATTTCCTTTCGATCAAAATATAGATTAATAATAAAAAAAAGTTCGATAGTCAAAGATTCTAATTTATATATAATTTCTTTTTGTTTTACCGAATTGGTTATCTAGCTGCTTCACAATGTTTTCATGATTCGAAAGGTTAATATCATTTTTCTGTTTATCATTGTATTTAATAAAATGAATATTTTTAAGGATCTAAATAGTCCATCAATGTATGAAACAGATATTGCTATGAGTGATCTTTCATGTTTTATAAATAGTGATCTTGCACGTGATTTAACTAATGAGATAATGACGCTTGTAAGAAATAATTGTATTTTTATTTTTATTTAAATAATTTTTTTTAGATGACATCAACAAAACCATATATTCGTAAATGAGCTATTCTACTTTTATATAAAATATTTCTTAATAATCTTGATGTTCTTAAATCAGCATTTCCACGTTTAAATGAAAAACTTGAAGATTCCGATTCAGATAAATTGATTAAATAAAAAAAAAGAATTTCAACATTTTATTTTCAGATGTATAAACAGCTGCTGTGAATGTTATTTATGAATTAGCTAGACATAATCCAGAAAATTATCTTGCTTTAGCTGCAATATTTTTTCGTCTTATGACAACATCAACTAACAATTGAGTGCTTGTTAAAATTATTAAATTAGTAAATAAAATTTGTTTAACTATTTTGTTTTCGAATGGATTTCTTTTTCGTTGTTTGTATTTAGTTTGGTGTATTAACACCATTAGAACTTCGTTTAGGCAAAAAATTAATAGAACTATTGACAAATTTAATTCATAGTACTTCAGCCATGTCTCTTTGATATGAATATATTAATACTGTGATTGCTAGTAAAATGAAATAAAGAGATAAATTTTAATTGACTACGTTTTTATTTAAGTTCTTGTTCCAATTTCATCGGATTTACCAAATCATAATGCTTCAACTCAACTATATGTACAAAAACTTCGAATACTTATCGAAGATTCAGATCGAAATTGTATGAAATATATTCATTATACAAAAAAAGACAAAAGAAAATTTTTATATTATCTTTTTAGTAAAATATATTGGTTTACTTGCTATGTCGACAATCTTACATACGCATCCAAAAAGTATTCAATCACATAGTGATTTAATAATGCGTTGTCTTGATCTTCTTTCTCGAATGGTAAGAAAATGAATTATTAGCTAAAAAATCAATGACAAAAAAGTATTCAAATATGAAATAATCAATTCGATAGAAAAAAGATATTAAAAATAACAGATGTTCAAACAGATTGTCGAACTTGCTTGTTATTTTTTTTTAATTTTTAATAAGTTCATTTTTTTTCATGAGGAAATGTAGATATCGAGGTATACGGTGTTTGTGCTATGTGAATACTTATTTTTTTTCGACTAACCTCTTTTCTAACAATAGAAAAAGGTTATATTAATTTTCGTGAATAAATATTGCAGGAAAAAAAATTCAATCGTGATATTGATTTTATTCGTTGTAGAAAAATGAAAAAAAATAAGCAAACAAGAAATTTCTTATATTTTGAATATGAGTAGATTAATAAATCGATATATATAACGAGATTTTACTCACTTGTACTGTAGTCAGATATCTAGTTCTAGTTTCTCCTATGGTATATTAACATCATACTGTTATCATAATTGCTTAGAAAAATATCTTTAAAATTGCGAATATTTTCATACGTCAGGAGCTCGAAATTGTTTCTGATTTACATTTATATTAGAGGACAGATTTTGATGTCTTTAATTAGACCATTAAATACATTGAAAACATTCTTATTATTATGTTAATATTTTATTTTTTGTCCTTGCCAGACAGTGACGATCTACTGTATAAAGCCAATAGATGTTTGCATGGTAATGTCACGTTGATAGAAAGCACACACAGATAGGGACAGACAAATCATGCCAACAGAAGGTAGATCTCTATTTAGTGATGTCGGCGCTTGGATCTATAGATTTTCGGTAAGAGAACTTGGAAAAATAATAGAAAATCGATAGCCGGACTTTACTAGTTTCGATCAGAATAGATCGTAATTGAACAGAGCTAGCCGTCGGATTCCTGCTTCCAAGTTCTTACAATTTTCCGGTCAGTATCGGCTCGTATTTTATTACATAGAAATTGTGCTTTAGGACAGCTTTTCTACATAAAAAGTGTTATGAATTAATATGAAATATTTAGATGTATCATTAAAAACAAAGGTTAATATGATTTATGTTTATTAGTCTATGGATTTCATTCGTAATCATTTTACTGTAGTTTTTATCTATTTTTGAAATACAAAAAAATGTTTATTGATACAAGAGTTTGCCATAAAAACAATCTATTAGTTTCTACTCAGGTCAAGAAATACGTGCCATTTCCAGCCAAAAAACTCGAGAAAATGATAGAAACTTCTTACCGTTTTACCGAGTTTTTCTGTCGAAATTCTTTTAAATAAGTAGAGCGAAACATGAATAACTGATCTCTTTAATTAATTGAGCTTTTGTCTGAGATGGTATCAGAATTCGATGGAGAAAAACTATTAATAAAAAAATCTGATCATTCAATATTTGAAAAATTAATTTTTTTGATTGTAAAGTTTTTTTCTTGTTCGGGTAACAAGAAAAACTCTAATGGTTATCGTACATAAATTAATGATTCATATGGATAAATCTGAAGGATCACATTATCGAGATGAATTACTTTCAAAAATAATTGAAATATGTAGTCAAAAAGATTATCAACATATAACTAATTTTGAATGGTTTACATTTATTTTTTTAATTTTTATTAATAAAAAAACATTATTTATCACTATAGATATATTAGTATATGGGTCGAATTAACTCGTCTTGAAGGTACAAAACATGGTGATTCCATATCTTTATAAATGCTTGATGTTGCTGTTCGTGTTGAATCTATTCGTTCATTTGCTTGTAATCAAATGATAGAAATTTTTCAAAAATAAAATCACGAAAAAATTTTTTTGTTTCAGGTTTTTAGACAATTCTTCTCGAAAATGCTTATGTTTTTATTAATGATTCAAATTCTACAACTGTTGCCGAAGTTTTATATGCTGCTGCATGGATTTGTAGTGGATTTTGTTCGTAAGTCAATAACGAAAAACAAAATTAATTGAAAGAATTCTTGTTTTTCTTTTCTCTATAGTCATTAAAAAGAACCACAAAAAACTCTTGAATCAATGCTTAATACAAAAACTACTCTATTTCCTGGACATATTCAATCTGTTTATTATCAAAATATTTTAAAAATTATAATATATTTAATTCAATCGTCGAATAATGATGAAACATTAATTCAACAACTTCTTTCATTAGCGATCGGTAAAATGTCTGTATTTTTATCAAGTGGTGATGTCGAAGCACAAGAACGAGGAGGCCATTTTTTCTTTTTATTTTAAAGGACATTATCCATAAAAGGCATCAAGATAAAAAATCGTATTTTTCACATGGGAGATGAACATGTAATTTCTGTTGCTCAGAAGATCATCTTCAAGAAGATTTTTTATCATACATCATTCAACGCAGTTTCATATGTTGATTTCGAATAAGTCATTGGTTTTGAATAGAAATGCTTTAGAGCCAGCAAAAGAGGAACTCAGCTGAAAATCTGCTGTACGATCCATGAATGTTTTTGCTATTTGTGCTGATGCAGGTCATATAGAAGGGCTTGTAGGTAAAGTGTGAGTAGACTTAAATTGGTGCTAAGAGATGCACATTCATTTTACTATAACGAAGTGGTTTGGAAAATTCATTGCAGAAATGTTCATCTTATTTCTCAAAGGTGGTGACTCAAAATAAAATTTTTGTTTTACTATTAGATAGTAGAGAATGCACAATTTTTAGAATATATATTGCTTTTTGCCAATTAGTTGGTTACATCTTGAATAAAAATCAATCTTTCGTAATTTAGCAATATTTTTAGGCTAGTGTTGGATCAGGTGATTCTCTGCGTTACGCAACAATTTTTACACAATCAGAAAGAGCGCATTTCCAAATATATCAATCATTATCTGAATTGTTGAAAACTCGATTTTCATTTTTTCACCTAATATTCGCGCGCCTACCTCCCCACACAATGGACAGCCTGGCGATAAAATCGATTCATGATATCTGAATCTAGTTTGTAGCTAGCAATAAATCTACTATGAATCTGCATTTAATTACACTTTGAGTTCTAATTGCAAATGAGTAGCCGTCTTGCAATAGCTATTACCAAATAGATAAAATAATCTAAATAAAACGTATGTTTCAAATTGAAGTTTTACTGATAGTCATTAGATGTTATATATTTACTCTATACACTATAGGCCGTTTGGATTTACTGAAGATCCTTCTGCTCCATTAGAACTAGAAAATACTGACTGGTGAATATGTAACTTTTTTTCCGACACTTTTATTTAAATTTGAATTTACTATCTGGTTGAGCATTTCACCACCAAACTTAAGTTGGATGCACTAGCATATAGATCCAAACCCTTGTGAGCATCCATCGTCCCAAATATAACCTCCAGTATAGACGTACCCTAATTAACTTCTATTATGATCACTCATTTTTTGAATTGACGAAGGTTCAAATAAATAATACAATTTAAAACTTATATATTTTTCAAAGTTTTACATTGATTGTTGAGTTTTAAACACAATCTATGGATAGTATCTATTTGTCAGAAATCTTTCCAGTGAAAGAAGCTAGATAATCACAATTAATCAGCGGCAGCTATCCAAAATTTAAAAAATTATTTTTCGAAAGAATCTATTTGCTCAAATATACTATAGTTTGTTTTTCCGTATCAGGCAACTAATATACTTAATTTATTCCTAGATGATACGTCATAAAATTCTGAGAAGTTGTTGTTTTGAAAATGTTGATCGAAACTAATTGAACTTGAAAAGTTCATAAAAATGCTAGAAAAATAATCATAATAAATATCCGGATGTCTTTTACCAATAGCTCGAAATATCAAATATAAAAAAAAAGAAATTATTTATTTAGGCCAAGTGTTATTCTACATATTCTTAAAACAACATTATAATTAATTGAAAAATCTGAATTTAATATTAATGAATTATCAGTATTATTTGATGATGTTCTTAATCCAATTGTTGCTAAAGCTCAAAGTTTTTGGATTTGGATGGTTGAATAAATGATCCTCACTCAGGCAGTGAAGATGAATCGATAATAACAAGTTCATATTATGATAATAAAGGTTTATTTTATGATGATAATGGAGAAAATTATAATTCTAATTCATACTCTGGTGATACATTAAGTTATGAAAAATCGAAAAAATATATTGAACCAACTGCTGAAGAATTAGAAAAACAACGAGAATAAAAAAAAAACCAAAGTGAACAAATGAACCCATTCTATTTAAAAGATTCAAAAAAAAACCAAAATTGACACAAATAAGTTTTTAGTGTTAGGGATTTATTATGAACGTTTCAAATCTTTTGATTATCGTCTATGTTGACATAAGAATGTCGAATTTGCCATCAGATATAATGGACAAGTTGTTACCATACCTTTATCTTAAGATAGGAGCAATAACAAGATCTGAAACATTCACAAGAAACTAGTCTCGTTAAGGTTTGTCTCTATGAAGAGTTCCAAGTCAAAATTCGAAAATTAGTTTTCATGATATTCCTGTGAGGCATCATGGCTAGAACCCATCGAATTCAAAGTTTTCGGATCCGAAATTAATCCAACGGGCTCTAACTACGACATTCATTTAAAAACTACGGTAAAAGTGCAATATCTCGTCTTTAATAAGCTACAGACTTGAACTATCTTCAGGATATTCTTAGCTCATTTGATTCTATAGAATGCAAATAGTCTAATTCAATCCTTGAATTTATCTTTAATATTATAGACTGAAACAACTTCGGATACTATAAATGGTAATGATTGTATTGAATTAACATTATCACAAGGAACAAATGCTACTAGTTTACAATTGACACTATCTGATCAATTATATCATCAAGCAAAAATTGATGAAGAAAATCGACATTTAAAGAAAAAAATCGAGAACTGATGCAAAAGTAATTCATGATAATGATGATGATATTTACCCAACTGTTAAAGTAACACATGGTGGTGAATTACCAGAAAATGCTACAGAAAGTGAAAATACAGATAATGATAATGATGTGCGTGTTGAAAAAAATAAAAAATATGATCCATATCGAGCACTTAATATTGACTTAAATGAAAAACCTATTCAATCGATTCCTACACCATCATCATTGACATTTCAATTAAAAGAATCAGTTCCTAAACAAGTTGGAACACCTCCTATATTAACTGAAAAGCCAAAACAAAAAATCTAAGAAAAAGAAAATAATTGAAAAACAAGAACAATTATCAACATCGAAATCTAAACACAAACGAGAACGTAGTAATGATAAAGAATTATTATCACCAGCTGATGAAGAAGAAAATCGTCCAACTTCTTCTACACCTTCTCCTCCTCCTCCTGCTACTGCAGAGAAAACCAAAGTAAAAAAATCATCATCAGAAACAACAACAATAGTATATACAAATACTTCTGTACCACTCCTGTTGGACATTATGATGGATGATATTCATCCAACAAATCAATCTGAGCAACAATACAATGAACAAGATACTTATAAACTAGCTGCTCAATCTGACAATTTGACAATTGTAAATTCAATAATCATCCTAGTTTAACAATAGATGAGGAAACTCCGCTAACCGATAAAATGCTTTTGACATGAGTCTTATCTCATTAGGTGGTAGACTCTACTGAGATTAGAGAAAATCTTCATCCGATCATCTTTAAAAAATTGACTCTTGAGATATAAAAGGATGAAGTTCGCTTTTCTTCGTAACAGAATTTTCAACATTGATGTCTCAGGATAGAAGATATTCGGAAGTTTCTGACACTTACACAATGAATTAATTCTCTCAAGAACTTGATTTTGAAGATGATCTGAAGAGAAATTCACTAAAATGACTATTACACAAACAAAAAGATCCATTCCGATTCCATTCTAAAAAAAAGCCAACGTTGGAGATATTACTTTTTTTACCATTGAAATCATTTGAATATGTATTTAAACAATCTGTTATAAATTTATTTTTAGGAATATTTGATTAATCCAGATCCATTAATAGTTCAAGTTGATGTAACATTTCTTTTAAAAAATCGAATATCATTTATTATTGATCACATTAATATTCATGTTATTCATAGTATGAGTTCGAAGTTATTAAATACAACAAATACAAATTTAATATCATTTCCATCTATAAGTCTTTTTTCTCATTCACAAAATTATATTCACATTTATTTTTTAATAAATGCTATATCATTGTCTCAAGAATTAAAAACAACATTAACTTATTCTATAAATGTATGTTGAAAAAATTAAAAAAAACTACTTGTTATCTTCATTTTTGACAAATATATTTAGAAATTAAATATAATTGAAACAGATCGAATTGAATTTAAACTTAATTTACCTTGTTCACGATATTTACGACGAAAGACTATTGATTCGCAAGAATAAGTTTTTTTTTTAGGTTATTTAACATGAATATATATTTTTTAAAAAGTGTGGTATTCGCTGATTTGATGAGTTCGGGTACATTGACATGTCAATCACAACTTCGTATTCCATCATCTAATCAAGATTTTCTATCGATAATTAATAAAATTTGTCAATCTTATTGATTAACTGGTTAGAAAACAAAATTGAATTTTTTTTTATATCCAAATTCTTAATTTAGTTGTCGAAAAAATTAATTCAGCTGTATCTTTATATGCTGAAACAATACTTGGACAACTAATAGCTCTTTTATTTAAATCAATAGTATGTCTATTTTAAGATTTTTATTAAAAATCAAACTAAATAATTTTTATTTATTTATTTCTAATCTCATGGAAGAAATAAAAACATCATTAAAATAATTTGTTTTTCTTTATTTCATTTATTTATTTCATGGACAATATCTATATAAAGCGAAAAGAAAAATAATAATTGACAAACAGTGATCTCTTTTTTTGCATCTATTATCTTTATTTACCAAAAAAAGCAAAGAAAGAAAATCTCTTATGTATCAGATAATAAGTATATTTGATCTTCTGACACATAGAAAATAGGTTCTTTTTTTTGTTGTTTTGTTCTGAATGATTATAGTCAATTCTTATGTGTATGCATATTTTCTATTTTTTATTTGCTATAATTCGAACATTATATATATTTATACAAAAAGAGGAAAATTAATGATAAACTATTTAATCATTCTCGATTGGTTTCAAATGATTAGAAGAAAGAAATTTTTCTTTTTTTATGAAGCTTATTAAATTTCCAAGTGTAATGAGTACCGACGAGCGGGATCAATCGTTTATTATCCCGATCTTGACTAGAAAAAGTTTTTTTTAGTTCTGATTTCACGCTTAGTAATACATGTACTAGAAAAATATGCAATATAATATTCTAGTAGTGTCAATAAACTCGAGACATCTTGGACGATCCTCTTGACTTCTAATATCCTGTCTCTTCGAGGATCATTACTTTTTTTTAACTCACTGATACTTTGTCGATTCTGTTTGCAGTGATCTTTACTCAATAATTTTTGCATAGACTTAGAATACATGAGTCACAACAATATAGCATGATCATAAAAGATATCACTCACCTAAACTTTGTATGGAAATAAAAAAACGCCTTACAAATATTGTTTACGGCTGTAAATCCAACGACAATAATTCCCCAGTACGGGGATTTCAACATTAGCATTGGTAACAGGTGATATAAGATAATTGCTCTGATTTTTCTTTGATTTCTAAAATAAAAATATTAGCTAGCTCACAATTATGCAAATGACAGAAAAGGATATAATTGATATAAGGTGTGGATATAGATGAGGCTCTTGTCTTCACTCGCACACACACCATATATACTTTCATAATAAAATAAATCTTACTACCTAACCTAACGTCCAATAGCGGTGTAACCAGGATTTTTAGACCAATGGGTAAACTCTCTTATGTCGAAAAAAGCCAATGGGCGAAATAGGCAAGGTTTTTATTGATAGGCCAAAACTTGTTTCATCCAACAAAGTACTAATAACGTAAAAACAAACATGTATAAGGTAGTGTTAAGGATTCTTCAAATATGTATCTGTGCAGTATCACTCTATATGTATATATATCTATACATATATATGTTCGTGTGTATTCTCTTGATCTAGGCTCTTGTTTCTCTTCTCTACTTTCACGTGGTTAGTGTTTTTTCAATAAAACCGAATTCATGTTCACCCAAACTTACAGTTAAAATCAGAGTTGCCAGATCTTCTAAAAAGTCAGAAATTTTTCTGGAATTTGAACATGTTTCCAATTTTTTTTCTGATTTGTTGGCGAATTCCAAATGTTCTTAGACGGTGACTTTACTAGCGAAATCAATCGCAAGTGTAACTCATTAATATTATGAATCAATATTTCACTATCTTCTTTCCTTTCTTAATCTTTTGTAATTTCTAAGCTCTGCAGTCGCTGACGAGTGCTGTAATATATCAGTAAACTTTTGTGTTGCAGAACTTAACAATAAATGCTAATTATTTTTTTAAACAATTTTGTAAACATATTTTAGCTCAAAAACATTTATTGAAGAAATTTTGAACAAAGGAAAACTTGAAAAATAATATGGAATTTATGTTCTATAATCTTTATTATTTTTCGTAAACAGAATTTGAGCTTCGTAAAAGAATCTGACACTGTGTGTCTTTTGCTAGTCTGTTTTTTGTATTAACTAACAATTGCAGACCATACAGCAGCAAATTAAGAAGATTGCTAATAGGTGAATCAAATAAATGCTCTCACTCACAGACCAACTAAAACGTTAGCTGTCACTAGCGTACACAGACCGAGATGTTTAAATTTTAACATATTTACAGTTTGTCATGTGCCCACACTACGAAATTTCATCAACCTTTAGTTCTCTTTTTTCGTCATGGTTGAATAGAACACGACTATTTACAGAAGAAGAAGCAATATCACACACATTCAAAAGTAATTTGACAGCAATTAAAATTTTTTGTTTATTACCCTTATAATTAAAAAATAAATGTTGTCTTAGACTTCGTATAATTTGCTTTTTAATATGCGTGATATTGTTTTCTCTTATGTAAATGATTCTAATCCATTCAACCATGACGAAAAAAGATGACTAGACGTTGATGAAATTTCATAGTGTGGGCACATAACAAACTGTAAACTTCTTGAAATTCGAATATCTCGGTGTGTGTATACACTATTGGCAGCTCATATTTTTAATTAGTTAGTTTGACAGTGAGAGCATTCATTTGATCCGACTATGATCAATCTCTTTAGTTTACAGTACACGATCTATTTCTCTCAGCTATATAATAGTTGTGTTGTCTCTCTTTACTATGACATACTTTTGGAAGCAAAGTATGAGTCTATAAAAGAAAAAAAAGTGAAGCCTTTTGTGCAAGTATGTGAACATGACAGTTCTTAGTCTGCAAAAAGTTATTCTTTCTGATTAGTTTCCGATTTCGGAAAAAAATTCTGATTCATTTCCTGATTTTAAGTTTTTCATCTAGCAACCCTGGTAAAAATATCAGAAGCGATTCTTTTCTTCTTCGTTCTTCATAGAAAGAACAAGCAAAAAGTGCATGTATGATTCAGACAGAAGAAAACAAATAGAGTTACTATCTAATTCAAAAATAAATAAACAATTCTGTAAAAGTAAAATTACAATGGGCAAATATCCAAATGAAATTGGCAATTGCCCATTTTATTCCTCCCTTGGCTACGCTGGTGTGATATTGTACACTTATTATCCATAATTCCGATTAGTTGACATATGTTGCCAAACTTATGAGTTCTATTCAATAAAGTTTTAATTTCTTATTCTTGTGCTGCATTTCTCAATATTTGATATTCTTATGTTTTACAAAGTTCTCGCAAAACATTCAAATACTGTAATATTTTTTTCATAGATCTATAAGAATCAGTAACACTTTAATTAAAGAAAGTCACATTATATATGCTAAGTTATCATCTGATGTTCATTAACGTCGTCTTCTTGTTGTTTATCCAGCAATAATAACAAATTCAATAGTTCTTACTGATCTTGAATTATTACGTAAAGAATATTAGTGTAAGCAATCAAATATGATTTTTGATACAATTATTTTCTACACCTCTCAGACTTAAATATATCTGTGAACATTATCTCCATATAACACATGATATTTCAGACATTTATAATATTTTTATTTTTTCTAGGTACTGATTAAATTTTAAAAAAAATAGTCGGTATTCTGTTTCTTCATGAAGGAGTTGAAACGACACGAACGAAGCTCTTCAATATTCTTGATATTTCATAAGATTAAATTAAAATTTATATGAATAACTTTAAAATTCAGTTGCTTTGAAAAGGCAACTATTTCACTTTTCAATTTCAAAATCAAATGTATTCGAGTAATTTAAAAATAAGTTTCATTGAAAAACGATAGAAAACTACAAATATCACCATTGAGAGAGGAAAATTAATATTATTGATTCATGCAAGTCTTAATCAGTCTAATGTTCGAAGCATATCTGTTGATCAAGATCTGAAAACTCATGAAAGTTGTATGATTAGGAACTTAATTTTGTTTTTTTAACCTGATGAGGTAATGATGCAGACGTCAATTATAACTGGTAATACATTTCCTTCTACGGATGTAGATTCACTTATCAACAATGAGCCAATAAAGACGGAAAACTAGAAGGAAATCTACAATTATGAACAATTTTCTCCATATTTTATAGCCTATTTATTTTCTTGTCGTATGTTTATTCACGTCACTTGCATTCACCTATTTAAAATTCAGCAATTATCCTTTGTGAAAATCCATGGTATATACGAGAAAAGATCTTAGAGTTTTAAAAACATGAAATTTTTGTAATATACTTTAGAAATGTTTAGCCGTCATTAAAAAATTGAACTAACTATCTTATTGTTTAATCGATCATTTTTTTTATACAAATCAACATCTGTTTTAAAGACAACTGAATTTTAAAGTAAACTCCGACATTTATATAGATCAGAGTCAATATCAATGTCCAATGAGTTATCTTTTTATTACACTGATGATCACATAAACAGCGTCAAAAGTTCATAAACAAAGAAATAAAAAATTATATATATATATTTTTTTACTTTATCTTTCGATTTGTTAAAAATTTTATTTACAACTCAAATTTAAGCGCATGCAAATATTAGTGTACATTTTCTCATCATCACAACACGAAACGCAAGGTTAAGTAAAAAAGAGGAAGAACACATGAAGAACGAAATTTATGTGATGATGAGCACATGGTTGGAAAAAAGCTGTCTACGTGATGAAAAAGGTCATGGTCCATTGATTCGCGTAAACACACATTTATGGGGAAAAAACCAAGTAATGTTATCGATTATAAATACAGAATAAAACCTATTGCAAGCACATCAAACAAAATTTGTACACTCAACTATCGACTAGCACGTAAGTAGAT